TCATGGGTGCCCCCAGTGGAGGGTGGAAAAGCTTTGGAAATGGTTAGTGGCAGCTGAGCTGGTTACAAATAATTAGGTTAGAATACAGCACTAAAAGGAAAAAAAAAGTTTGGCTTTTTAACATGAATCCAAACATGTATGAAAGCGTTATTAAGTGCTTAAGGGTCACATTCTCCAGCCCTAGCCAAGTCCATGAAGTTAGTTTGAGAGTCAAAGGTATCGCAAGGGTGTAAAACAAACCTTTAGCTATCAATACCTGCCATTACTCTGGAATTTTGACCAAGCTGCATCACCGTGGGTGGTAGACTTTTATGCACCTCTGTAAATTTAGGTGAAAGATATAGGGCATGAGTTCAGAGCAAACAGGATTTTTTTCTTGTTCTTTTCCCTTAGAAGAGCTACAATATCTCCCAGCTGGAGGACATTTGAGCCTTGGAGTAAACCCCCCCAGCAAAAATCTTTGTAATAATAGACAGCAATCTCCAGGTCTGCAGGTGATAAGCTATATTTTTTCAGGAATATCTTGTGTACCTCCTGCTGGTCTTTTCTGGCATTTGAGTCTCAGATCCATATTTGGTATAATATCCTACACTGTGCATGAGGTGCTATTGTTCTTTGTGCTTGAAAATAGAGTAACTCCTCAGATGTTTGTAAAGGTAGCCAGGACGGCATCAGAAGGAATGTGAAGCAGAAGGAAACCAAAGTGTACTAAAGAAGCAAAGATTTTTCAACACTAATTAGTCTAAAAGGATTTTTCAAATCCATGAAACAATAGAACAGCATTCAAGCAACATGATCACTCTCCACCAAATGGCCACAATTAAAGCAGTTTTTTTAGTACTTTAAAGTCATGAAATTGCTCCTTTAAATTAAAACTCTCAAATAAAATGTTAAAATTAAGACTATAAATAAGTACCTTCATAACTTAAAATGCCACTACTTTATTTCAAAGGAAAATAAACCATTATGGGGAAAGGTTAAATATTTCTCTTATTACAATCAATGGGACTCGAGGGATTCTTTCAGTTTAAAGTGAAGGCTCAGACTGAGTTTTGTATTTGTGTGCATGTAGGTATGAGGGTAAGGATACAGATACGTCTGATGTTAAAACAGGTTTCTGACGAACCAGGTCCGTAAACCAATTGCTTAGCTCCCGGCAACTTATTTGTGTTGTTCCCGATTTCTACTTGCAAAACTTAGTTTTATCTTGAAATCATCCTTGCTCCTTTTTTGACCTGAATGATTGATTAGCTAATAATTGGCACCTTACCAAGTTGTTTTAATCAGGTATTTAGTTTGTACACTTCTGTCTATTTGCAAAGAAGGGACATACAAATCCTGTTTCCCAGAACACAACAGGGACAAACAAAGAGCAAGCAACTTCCTGGCCAACAATTTCCAAGCCTACCTTTCAGAAGCAGTACTGCACCCTAAGAAGCTCCATCTCTCTGCTTCGTCTCATTACCCTGCTTATGGCTGCTTCTGCGCTTCCTGCCTTTCACATACAGCTGCAAACAATCTCTCTTTTTCAGTCCTTGCCAGGGAAATTCCTCAGCCCACACAGCTTAGCTTCTGACTGGGCTGGCTACAAAGTCCATTGCCTTGGGCCTCCTATTGTTTTCAGCTATCACTATATAAAAGAAGCATTTGTTTGCTCCTTGCATAGAAGGAAGGTGCTTACTGCTCACTCTGGCTTCGATAAGGTCTGTGACTGATCTGTAGATCAAAGACCTGCTCCTTAGATATAAAGATAAGGCAGTTCATAAAGCCCAGCTACAATTAATACGGTGTCTATAGACAGATCCCCTAAGTCATCACACCCTTCCTAATTTCCAACAAGCCGCCTCATCTGGTAGAACCCGGCACAGGGTTGTAAGCGGCAGCTCTAAAAACCTAGCAGAGTCAGACTGATGAAGTAAAGCAAGAATGAACATTAAGCATGGAGTCTCTTTGAGTCAAGTAACTCCCCCTCGCGTGTTCATAGCAAAAAGGATGCCACTGGAAATGAAAAGCACCAATGTCTTTTTTGCCACAATACCATCTAAGAGCTTAATGTAGTGTCCTCACAGCTTCACTGGACTATTTGGTTTCCCTTCTGCAAAGACTGGGTAGCAGGACTGGACCCAGGGGTTTTGCTGCACTCTATTCACAACCCTTGCACTTTAAGCAGCCTGTGCAGGCCTGCCATTTCTTCCATTTCCTTCCTCACAGCTTGCAATGACAGTGGTCTGGCTCATGTAGACTGGAGCAGCTCGCTGTCCCTATTGCACCTCTAGCCTGAATATTGTTCCAAGCAGGGCAGAGGTCCCTCCCTCCTTCCTGATCCTTCCCAGCCTCAGTGTCTCCTGACAGCCAGACAGATTGCATCAGCCTGGCGAGGGGGAGGTGGAATTCCAGGGGTATCTCACTCCTGTAATGTTGCAAATTCATGAATTGAAGCAAGAAGAAAGGAAACAGAAGGAAAGAGAGAGACACAAAGGAGCTACATGCTTTTGCCTGCCTGCCTTCCCACCTGCTCGGCCGGTGCATTCTCTCTTCTCCCCGCTTTGCAACATTAACTCAGCCTTTCTGTTGTGCTGTCCAGCCCTTTCTCGGTGCATCAGAAGGTGAAACACAGGGTTAACCCAAAGCTCCCGTGCTACCACAGCAGATGCCTTACATTTTGTTCCCTTGCAATTGGCAGAGGCACCCAATGTTTTCACTGGTGTAAAGTCAAAAGCCACATTGCTCACGAAAAACAAGCCAAGGGGCTCTGCCTATCCCCGGCTGCTTGCTGCTTCCTCAGACCGGGCTGTACCTCTCTAGGCTCTTTGTAGTCCAACGTGACGCTGAAAAATCTCTGTTTCTTTACCACTGTGTAGTAACCACAGCAACAAGATTATCACCATGCCAGTCAGCAGCCCACACCAGGCCTCAGCCTCATGGCTTCACATGGCATTGGTAACCATTTCAGATTTAGATACATCTGGACTGTGGCCCTGGCTCTGGTTGTGTAGTAGCTGAGTTGACTTGATGAGCTGTGCTAAGAAATTGCCATTTATTCATGGTAACAGGGTTCACATCCAGGAAGTGTAAGATAAGAGGCCAGTTTCTCACATCTTGCAAAGCCCGGCTGACTTCCTATCTAGGCCTGTTCCACATCGACATCACTGGTGTCAAAGGACGTATCCACAACCTCAGACCTTGACAACACGAGTCCTGGAGGAGTGCTTAGAAAGCTGGGGATTTCTGGCCCCCTGCATGGCAGATATCTGTGCAGCTCAGTCTTTCATGTGTTCTCATAGCATGCCTGTGGCTTAGGGATGGGACATTATCCCTTTTGTACAGGAGGAGATATCAAGCACTGAAAGACTAAGTGATTTGCTCAAGACCACACAGGAGAAGTCTGTGGCAGAGCAGGCCTGAATATCAGGGTCACACCCAAGCCACAGGGACTATGCCAACACAGTTCCTATAGGTTCTTCCCGACTGTAATCCTTACCTGGATCACAATTTAACTGCTGCCCCCTATCTCCAACATAGGCCAAACCAAAACTCTGAAGTTTGATGCTCTCAGCTTTTAGAATCTGCGTTGGAGTCTGCTGAGTGGGCCTATCTTGAAACAAAAGCAGTCCCTGGAGTTTTATTTTCTTTTATTAGCATCTAAAGACTAATACTGAGAAACTGCCCCCCCCGCCCCCCAAGGGCCTCACTTCTTCCACTAGCTGTCAGAGCATCCATGTTCCAAGCTATACATGAATTGTACTTAAAAAGAGAGGTACTGTAGTTATCCCTGCTAGTCTGAAGTCAGACAGAAGGCAAGGCAGACTGGCACCTTTTATAAACTAATTCAACTAATAAGCTTTCATAAGCAGGAGCCTACTTTGTCAGAGGCCGTAAATGGACCTGCAGGGAGCAGGAGCTTCTAAATAGAAAGCAGTAAGTTCAATAGAAACTATAGGGAAGTGGGGAGAAAATGGGAGGGGGTCCTGTTGAGAGAGGCAAAGGTGGCAAACAAAGCAGTAAACCCATAGGGTTTTTAATGTAGCCTACATAATAGGAATCCATAGTCTCTGTTTAGAACATATTTAGGAAGGACAGACTGATTGACTTACATCAGGGGAGAAACACTTTCCATGCAGAGACACAATGCTGTTATCACTATTCAGCAATCAGCAATGAAAAAACCAACAGCTGATTAGGTCTATCCTCATCAGTAAACAGAAGTGACTCTGTCCTACCAGGCCAGGTCAGGCACATTACTCAAGCTACGTGGACTGCACTGGCCTTGCCACGTTTGAGAGGCCATTAGAGAAATGAACCTGATTTGCAGAGACTCGATCCCAGCCCCAAACCCAGCCTTCCTGACACTGGGATCTCAGTTGCAGGGGTTTAGGTTTTAGCCGTGTTGGTCTAAGGATATAGGCAGACAAGGTTCCTTGGGTGAATTTGATATCTTTTATTAGACCAACCCAAATGGTTGGAGAATAGTTATTAAGCAAGCTTTCGGGTTCAAAAACCCTTCGTCAGGCTCAGGAAGCTGCAGCAGTTGGTGTGTGCTCTTCCTGGATGGAATGAGATGGGATCTCAGTTGTGATTCAAGCCTATTTTAGCAAAAAGCAGTAGAATACACGATGTATTTTGTATCACTTTACTGTAAAAGGCAATCAGCAAGAAGGAATCTAGAGGAAAGAGCAGCAGATAGACACACTGACTTGTCAAACCTACTGTAGAAACTTGTGGACTCCTATTCCAGAAACAAGGCAGCTGCAGCAGTGATAGACAGCAAAAGCTCAAGCGCCAGCATAAACAGGGCTCAGGTGTTTTTAACCATCTGGCTGATAGGCTTCAAAATGCCATTGCTAATAGGCAGCATCATGGAACAGGTGTGTATTGGGTGGGATCCCATTTCTTGGCCCTGCTGCAGTTAAGATTTTGATCTGCACCTTGGAAGAAAACATAAAATCATTACAGATACAACAAATAGAGGATTTGTGAGGTGAGATGAGGTAGTACCTTTTATTGACCACCTTGTATTGTTGGTAAAGATAAGAGATAAGCTCTCAGGATCCAAGTACCCTTCATCAGGTCTGGGAAAGAAGTAGTTACAGTTCAAGCTAAGTAAGGAGTTGGAACAACCAATGAATTGGCAGTTAGCACAAAGGTTAGGGGAAGAGGTAACTAAGGAAAAGGATGGATCACCATGCAGTGCAATTTGGATCACTTGGTAAGCTGTATTTGAGCAGAGAAAGTGCATTTCAGTATAGTCAGATGTACACTAATGCATCTAGGAAGAAAGACTGTTGTGATGGGCAATCAGCTAGACATGAGCGGCCAGCGCTTCTGGGGTTTGTCTGGTAGCAGTAGCATGTCCCAGGCAGCAGGAGGCTGTTCCCAAGCAGCCCACTTGAGTCCAGTGACAAACTCTGGAGCCAGAAGCTTGCCAGCAAAGCTGATCTGGGCTCATACCTGGCACCTAGGTCCAGACCCTTGGTCTCCCGTGGGTGCTGCACACAAGGTGAGAGCAGCCTTACTGGTAAACTTCTGGTTCTGGTGGTCATCCATGAACTTGGGTCACCTCCACGTCCCAGAACATGCTGCTGCCCTGGCACAGGCAAGACAACTGGAACCAAAAGGGCTAAGGCAATCCGTGGCTATATGTACACAGAAGAATATTAAACTGTAGTAGCAGAGAGATGATGGTATCTTTGTTTTTGACACTGATGCTACAGGATCTGGGTCTGTAGGATCTGGTGTTCACAGTTCAAGAAGGCTGATGAAAAATTGGAGAAGTTTTAATCAAATACATAGCTGAGTAATGATTAAACATGTTTTGTAACAAGAGATTTGAGTGAGAGACTTGAAAAACTGTCTCTTCAGTTCATCAAAGAGAGGGCTAAGACTTGATCACAGTTTACACTAAGAACAGAATCTGGTACTAGAAAGTTCTCCTTATTGCTGTCATTTAATGGCTGAAAATTTAAACTAGGTAATCTAGATTAGAAATTGAGAGACAAATTCTTAACTATGAAGGTATTTAACCATGAGAACAACATAAGCAAGGGTTGTGGTTGATTCCCCGTCATGGGAGACATTCAAAATAAATTAGATGTTTTTCAAAAACATGCTTTAGTTGAAACAAAGATCAGTTCAGTGAAAGCTATGGCTTGTGTGGTGTAGCTCAGACTAGACAAGAACAATAGCTCCTTCTTGGCTTGCAGTCTGCTGAGAGCACATTTTCATCACACCGTGGTGAGCATTTGAGACCTGCACTGGTATATTATGTCAGTGCAAATGCACCATTTCCAGAATGGCAGCATTTGTTTTTTTTAATATAGACACACTCTTAGATGAGGCAGCTGTGATAATCACAGGAGCCCAGCTGCCAGAGTCTGGGGACACAATCGCACCATGTCTCCAAAGGAACAGAAGAACCAAGTATTACAACTGAGATGGCAAGACCTATGTATCCTCATTAGATAATGGATGCTGGGAGGAATGCAACTTGACAAGTGAAAGAGCTCACATTTTCCTCAGCTGCAAAAAAGGTACCCAGAATAATGTTAAGAATGCTCATATCTGCTCCAGCTTTTGTAAATAAACCAGCAGCTTTAATGAGTCTCGATCGCATAAAAAGAAATCAGGATAAGGACCTTCCTCAGGCCAGACATTACTCTTTGAGTTATTCAGTACTATGAAAGAGAGTTTCTTACTTCTAGCATAATCTGTCCTTTCTTGGACATCTCTCTTGCTGGTGTGTTTTCACCTGGGCTGGTTATCTGCTGCAATATCAGGTTGTTTAGAGTTTTAAAATATTTTTCTGTGTGCCTCAGCTAATTCGTTCTCACCTTGTAGCTTTAGCTTTAGGCTGTTAACTCCTTGCTTTTTAGGACATTCTTATGCAAAGTGACAAGGTAGCTTACTTAACAAATATAACTTCCCTGAAAAAAATGTTATTTACTTGGTGCTGTCTTGGCTATGACCTTCAATGCAGTCCACATTGTCTACTTCTTTCCCCTGGGCTGCACAAACTGGGCTCTTCCATTTGCTTTTCTTGGGTCAAATAAAAAGAGATGTTGTCTATTGTCCAGAGAACAGCATAGGGATTCAGGGCCTCGTGCGTTCTAATCTTGGCTGATGTCAAGTTCCTTGTTGGCTTTAGGTGAGTTGTTTGACCTCTGCCTCAAGTTTCCCTATGTTGTCAGTTCAAAATTATCTGTAACTACCTATCTCCGAGTGCAGACTGGGATCACCTAATGCTAGTAAAGCTAGCTAATACATGTGGGGTAACGAGGACACAAATTAAGCACTGGATTCTCATAAAAGTTGTTCTTTGCTGTGCAACAAAGATCTTGTTGTGACTAGTTAATTGAGCAAACATTCCATCCCATTCCAAAATATGCTAGCTATGCTTTTCCAGGCTTGTTTCAAGAGTCCCTTCAGCACATTAATTTCTCTACCAATCTGAAAAAACAAATGCCTGCTCCCAATTCCTGGGCCTCACCTGATGCTCCCCAATTCCTGTCAGATTGGATTTCTCTAAGGAGATAATCTCACAACACATCATTTAATTAAACATACAAGGGGAAGAATTACTAGATTGCCTGCCAGTGTTGTTGCTCTGTCTGTTCCTCCACCAAATGTTTTACCGCTGGAGTATTTTCTGTCATGTCTCTACTGAAACCTCTTATCTCCAATTTCCTCCTCATCTCCCATCTCTCCAGAAAGGCTGCTTCAAGGCTACTTTTCATCCCTGCCCGTATCTGACTTCAGTGAACTAGCCTCCTAAATTGCAAATAGTGTCCAAGTGTGTCCTCATCACCATCAGAACTCTCCATCCCTCCATTTCTTGCTTTCATATTGCACTTACTTTCCTTTAGTTCCTCTTCCTTTCTCTATACTGCAGCTACTTCCAGGATTTTTCTCATGCTTTCTTTCATGCCACCCCTTACAAACAGGCCCCCAATTAATGTATTTCCAAGTACCCTCCTTCTCTTGCAGTATACTCCCAGAAGCAGTCCAGCTTTGATGATTATACACCCCAGTGTCTGTATAGCTGGTGTCTCTCTCCAATATATTCCTGTACCTTTACAACCTTAGGCAAAACCCAGTGAAGTCAACAAAAGAGTCCTACTGATTTGAATGGGTCTCAGTTGAAGACTTCAGGGTGTCTGCACTGCAGTCTTCTGTGACTGCGGTGTAAGGTACAGAAATAGCCAAATTAACTTTACTATAGTTCCTGAGCTGCCTTATTTAATCTAGCAGTGGCGGCATGGGACTCCATAAGGGGTAATTGATTCTGGCAAGAATGTAATCTGTCATGTCTGCAAAACCGGTCTTGTCTTTGACCCTTTCCAAACATAATGTAAGACCACACATTTGCATGGTGCTTTCCAAAAAGCAGCAGACAATCATGGAAATCAAACTGATAAGCTTCAGGAAAACCTGTGGTAACACTATTATACAGGGCAGCCATCTAACATGCTGATCGCTTTCTGGTTGTTTGAATTGCCCACCCACTAAACAAAGCGTGTCCAGCAAATACTTTTTCGTCCTTCCAACATGTCTTGTGAGGATGCTTTGAGAATAAAGTGAAGTAATGGGGAAAGAGAGAGAATCTGTCTCAACATGATTTATGTATCAACACACTCTGTCAGAGGGAAATAACCAATTTCTTATGACTAAATCCCTGGCTCCTCATTTCTCACAATGTAAATAACACAGAGCAATAGTAGTATATCCTTTTGACATGGCACACAGAAACAGATACATAAGATCTAGGCCTCCCAGCCCAGGTGAACAGATTTTTGCCTTGAAGTCAGAGATAACCAGGAGTCTTTAGAAACAGGAAGTCATGGTAATTAAGTTACATATGAAAAGGAAAGGATATTGAGATAAGTATTTCTTATATTTCTCGATGTACATCAGATTCCAGCTATGTAGAAGCTGCTGTGCAAGTTGGAAGTTCCTTCTTTTATTTAAAAAATGTGAAGGTAATTTGACATTTACTCTCTGTGGTCTTTGCAATATCATTGTAGAAAAGTTTAAAACTATTTGATTGAGCTCACACACAAACCATCAACATGGTGCATGCCTATGCAAAAAGTGGCCTGAGTTTCAGAAGGAATGTGTGCTCCAGCAACCCCTGTTGAGGCAGAGAGGTGTTGGATTTGAATGTCTTACTTTTTAGCTTGCTATTTTTAAAAGACTTGTCCTCACGGTAGAGCATCAAGACTCAGTATGCAACATACAGCACACTTCCAGTACGAGTATCTTAGTTCAGGTGCAGGAAAGCAAGACAAGGATTGAGGGCTGTGCTAGAGCAGGGCGTGCATGTCTTCCTCATCTGATGCTGTTACAGAAAGCTACTGCAGAAGTCAGGCTTCTTAGGAAAGCTAAGCTGTATATACCAGGGTGCCCAGCTGGCTGGGCGAGGGAGCTCCTTGGGAACACCTGTTGAGTTGCACCACTGTTTGAGTTTACTTTCCAAAAGCCCTTTTGCTGCTTTCCTTTCAGTGGAATGTAAAGGGACGGCTGTAAATAGGGGATCTCTGCAATTCCCTCCTTTCTTGAAGGAGAAGAAAGTGTAGCCTCCAGCCAGACTGAAAACAAGTTCCTTCCCATCCTCAAAACAAATAAAGTGAAGCTTATAAGCAAGCTGCTAGTTGAAACTTAGTACTTGGGAGATCCCCCTTCCCTGTGCAGTCTGGTGAAAAGCTGCTAGAAGAAACTTTACACAAAGAGCCTGGTCTGCTGCAAAAAACGGACTTTCTGGCGTGCTTCCTTCTCTTTAGGTGAAAGCCTTCCTCGTCCAGCTGGAAGCAAGACAAAGAAGTGGAACAAACCTGCAGTGTTTAAGGAGCTCTTACTCTGCGAGAAACAGACCTTTCCCCAATCCAGGGATCCCTCAGTTCCCACCTCCAAATGATTTTCCTTCTATTGCAAGTGCTCCCAGCCTTACCTCCATATAACTCTTAAATTTACTGGGGCTACTAGATGTGCGTACATGTGCATCTGTGGCAGAGTCTCTTTAATAGTTTATGTGGGATTAGTGCAAGGACTTTTTCTTCTATAGGAAGTACAGAAACACTTTTTGCACAACTGATCCTGCGGGGAACCCCCTCCCCCCATCAGCAAGACTGGCCAAGGGAGGACCCCTGCCACCCCTGCCCAGTCACTGGGGGGGCTCGTGTCCTGTCTGACCAAGGCAGCACCAGTCACCCATGTGTTCAGCCATGATAACCCTTCTCTTCGGGTCCTCTGCTATAAGGGGCTTATAGTCCTTTGCACCACTTTAGATTTCATCCCATGTAAATAATGAGGGACTTGACACATTTATGGGATATGCTGTGCCAATTCCAGGATTACTAACCGCGCTGAGACAAGTATTTTCTATTCTGCGTTGCAGCTGGCATGTTTTAACTTCTCTGAGCAATCCAAAAAAAGTGTCATATTCACAGCCTTGGAGTAGTGCAGGTATATATTTTCCCAATGTTGAGTTTTAAGCTGAAATATCAACTTAAAAACATATTTTAAAAGAGATTTTTGGAAAAATTATGAATTCTTCATCATTTCTTCATCATTTCCAGCAAACTGGAAATATTTAGTGTTTGTAACTAGCTCTACCCTGGAAGTAAAAATCCAATCTTTTTTCACATAATAGCTGTAAGTCTTTGCAGGACTGGGGTCATATTGTTTAAATATCAAACTTTGCAAATAGGGAAATAGATATTAAAACCCTGGAACCATACCATAAAACTTCTAAAATAGAGCATTTCCAACTATTTTCTAAAAGCCTGACTCTTAAATACTTTAGTAAGCTAATGATTTACCTCCATACTTAATACAGCAACCTAACCTAATTATTTTAAGTTAATGTTTTACATTTTTTGCAAAAAAAATAAATAAATCTGAGAATGCCATAATAAATTAATGATTTACCTACAGCATTATTTTTGCAGGCACACAGACAGAGCAGTTTAAAAGAGCAATCATTTAAGAATTATATTAAAGACCATTCAAAGGAAAGATAAAAGTGGATAAAAAGTGTGTATCAATAACATCTTGCTTTTTGTTAAAGTGTGTATTTATGGAAAAAAAAAAAAAAAAGAGTTGGTAGAAGGATGAATGGTACCTTGTATGTAGCTGGGTGACAATGCAGTCCTACTGGTTAGCAGACAAAGCAAAAAATACAAGGATATCTATATATAAGTATACTGGTATATGTTCCCCCCTAATTAAGGGATATCTGTACCCAGCCAATAAATAAAGGCACAACTGTACAACTGATCTGCCCAGATGAACATCTGCACCTGCACAGAGCTATATTGAAGTCAGTGGCCTTCATAGAGATTTCACAGTCTAACAAGGACTCCAATCACAGTATCGGGCCAGTAAGCATTAGCATTTGGCATTACTGATGTGTTCTTGCTGGCCTGGCAGATTTAGTAAAGGAAAGTTATGTTACACACCAAAGCTTGACATGAAAGCTAAACTGAGAAAAACAAAAGTGATATGCACTTTGCATTATTTGAGTATATCAAAAATACATATTGCCAAACAACAGACATGCACCATCTGCTCTTCACTATCTGTTTACAATAATACAACATAAACATAGCTTGGGTCCATAATCCGTATGGACAGTATTTCAGACATGCTTAGAAACTACAGTCAGGACTAAGACCCAACTAACCTTCCTGTCCCCAGAGACCTCACTATCTACACTGATATTTAAGGTTAGATAAAAGAGCCAATCCAAACTGACAAGACTATGAGAGTTGCCAGTGCTCAGCATGTTTGATCTCGTTCAAAAACAAAAGCCACAGAAAAGTGCTACGTTATCCTACAGTACTACTGTACTCTTGGGTATTTCTTCTCAAGTGCAATTTTGTACCTTCTATAGATTTGCCAAAACCTTAGTCACATAGTTTAACTGCCCTGGGGCCACTGATTACCCTGTCAAACAAGGAGAAACTGCCCTCCTGCTTTTTAAAACTATTGTACAGGTGACACCTACTGGAAGAATGTGATGACAGCAACATGTGTTTCTTCTATGGAGAACATAAGTGCCATATGGAGGCAGGCCAGTGGTCCATTTAGTCTAATATCCCATCTCCAACAGTGGCAGGTGTGGATGCTTTAGAGGCACAGCATTGAACTGGGTATATATAAAGTGATTTATTCCCTATTCATTATCATCCCATGGGATTAGATTTACCACTAATGCTCAAGAAATACTAGTGACAGCACAAGCAAACAAGCTTGCTCTACACCTGCTGTCCTCATTCAGTTTCTTTCTAGCACAAAACCAGATTAAGTTCCCCAATATACCTCTCACACTCCTTAACATAGAAATAATGTATAGCAATGGTTTGGGGGTCAGTTCAACAAACCAAAACAAGACCATTGCAGTTTCAGGAATATAAAAATGTTCTATGTTGATTGAAAATGTTGAAACAAAATATTTTGGACCCAGTAATTCCAAACTGATATTTTCCAGAATTTCTATTTTCCAGCAGTGCTGGAAGTGGTATCTTTCTGAAGAGATGTAGAACTGGGGACGAGTTTCTGTGGTCAGGGACAATTCAACAGCACTTCTCTTACTCCAACTGCTCCAAATTCAAGCTCAGATAATCATATTCTTTCCTCCCAAACTATCTTGCAATTTCAAGTAGCTTTGGCATTCTTCCTTCCTTCCTGTCCTGAACTGTTGCAAAGCCCTGCTGTGCACTTAGACATATAAGCCATGTCCAGATGAGCCTGGCCATGTGGCGATGCAGACCCGTCTGCAGTGCCACACTGCACATTCAAGTGTTCCCTGCACTGCTACCTTGCAGGTGGGGGAGGAGGGAGTTACCCCAGGAGATTCCAGGGTCAGAAAACCCATGCCAAAAAAAAAGCAGGGCAGCGCACAGGGTGGCAGTGCACACCACCCAAACCCAGAACCTGGCTGGCTGCAGCCATGCTCCAGCTACCAGCTACAGGAGCACTGCAGCTGCAGCTTCCTCGGCCCCCAGGACCCCGAGTAAGGCTGCTGGAGCCAGCACAGTTGCTGGTCCCATCCTCCTCTACCCAACTTGGGGTAACCTGCCACATACCAGAACATGCATGGCATAAGCATTCCCCAGGGACAAGTAGCAATGGTACAAGATGTGGAGCTGCTACTTGTCCCTGGGAAACCAAACATCCACGCTCATCTGGACATGGCCATAATGTTTTTACCCTAGACCTTGCTGCATTTCAGTAGCATGTGAAGACATTTCTATATCTAACCTAACTGTCATCTTTATGTGCCTGTATATGAAATTGCTTTGCAATTTCTGAAAGTGAGGGAGGGTCTGTTAAGAGTATCTCAGAATTTAAGCACCCAAAACTACCAGTGACTTTTCAGCATCTTGATACAGAGAATAATAGAAATTAAGGGCTGGAAACAACTTCGAAAGATCAAGTCCAACCCCCCTGCTCTGGGCAGGAATACTGCTGAAATCAAATGATCCAAGCAAGGTGTGTGTCCAGTAGGCCTATGCAAAGCGGTTAGTATTTGCTTCGGATTCGGATTCAGCCAATTCAAGGGACAGCAATTCAACTCGGTGATTCGAATCACTGTCCCAAACGGAGTCGGCCGAATCTCCGAATCAGCCAGGCCAGGCCCATCCCCTGCCTGCTCTCCCAGCCCGGCAATGGCTGCCCTGCCCGCTCCAGCTCCCGGCACTTGGGGAAAAAAAAGCTCAACTCACCGGGTGCTGCTGGGTGGGGAGCGATCCCCACTACCCCCGCTGCATGGGGGGCTCTGCACAAGCCCCCCCGACATCCCCTTGCTCTCCCAGCCCCCCCATTGGGTGCCCTACCCAGCCCAGCTCTGGCCCTTTAAGGAAAAAAACAAAAACCCCTGCAGTCACTGCTCCTGCGGGCGGGGGGGGACCCCCGCTGCCCCATGCCACATGGGGGGCTCTGCACGAGCCCCTGAAACCTTGAGACTGCTGCAGGAGCGGTGAGTCCTGGGGCTTTTCTCCATGTCTTTTTTTAAGGGATGGAGCTGGCCCAGGCAGGGCAGCCATGAGAGGGGGCTGGGGGAGCAGAGTGGGGGCAGGGGACTTGTGGCAGAGCCCTAGTGTCCAGGCTCCTCTGAAGACTTCCAAGGGTGGGGACTGCACCACCTCCTTGGGAAGTCTATTCCAGGTTCTGGTCACCCTTATTGTAAAGAAGTTCTTCCTTACAGCCAACCTGAAACCATCCTCTAACAGCTTATGGCCACAGCTCCTTGTCCTCCCCTGGGGTGCCCTGGAACAGTTTTTCTCCCAGCTCCCAATATTCACCCCTTACATACTTATAGACAGCCACCAAGACCCCCCCAGTCTTCTCTTTCCCAGGCTGAAGAGTCCCAGATCCCTTAGTCTTTCCTCATAAGGTTTGTCTTCCAGGCCCTTAATCAGTCTTGTGGCCCTGCTCTGGACCCTTTCAAGATTCTCCACATCTTTTTTGGCTGCGGTGCCCAGCACTGGACACAGTCCTCCAGCTGGGATCTCACCAGCGCCGAGTAGAGAGACATACAGTATCACTTTGCATACAGTAGCTAAAGAAGTCTCTGATACAGGGCACTACCACTATATGTATATCAAATAAGATATCATTAATACTCATCCATCCACAATCCTTGTGATCCAAACCTTTGAAAGAAAAATGTCATTTTGTAGTTTTCATTAATGTCCTTATTTATTGTTAATGTTTTCTGCCTATATGAAAACAAATAAAGACGTCCAAATATAGGACTCTGAGCTGAGGAAATGTAATGCTGATGAAGTAGGATTTAACAATCAGCATTACCCCCTAGTGGACAGAAAATGTTTCGCATTTACTTTGTAACTGCCATATTTCAGTTGTCCGGTATCCGTAGACTTACTCCTCCTGTGTGCTCGTTTGATTAACTTTTTGGATACATGGCCCTGCCCTAATTATTTGCACTGTAACCTTAGCACTGAAGCCTTGATCCAGCAAAGGCAGTAAATATATGCTTCACTTTATGGGTAGTGCCATTAATTTATATAATTAATTCACCATTAATATATTGATATACCTAATACATGCTTAAATATTTGACTCTGTGAGGGGCTGAGAAAAATATTCAGAGCTATGCTTGACTATGCCTGTAACTGTTGGGTTTTTTTCAGTAGTTAATACAAAAAAAAAGTTAGGGACAGATTATTTTTAAAGATTTTTGAGTGCTATACCATTGATCTGGACACCTAAATACATTTTAAAATGTGATCTTTGAAACCTAAAAAATTCTTGACAACTCCCTCTAGAAGTGCCGTGCTGTGATCACTGAGCTTTTTCATGACTAATAACATTTTGCTAACATTGTCACTCCTGGCACTTGGTTAGCCAATATTTGTCCCAATGACTTTTTGTTAAGGAGATGCCCTTAGTTCCATTTCCGTCTCGTTGTTTGGCGAGACCCTCAAATCTTTGCAATGCTCCAGTCCTATCCATCTCTTGCAGCACCTTCCTTGTAGATTCATGGCCTCATAAAGTAGAAGAACACATGATTTTAGCTAAATCTATTTAATTAAAACCACCAACTTCTCTGGTATAGACAAGGCCATGTATCTTTGGGGTTCAGGTACCTCCTGCCAGTCAGAATTGTTGGCATTCTTGTAAGCAGTATGGCTGTTGAGCACCCCAACAAGCATCTCAGCCTTGGCAAGGCAGAGAAACTCAGCATCTAACTGACACATGCATAAATCCCACCAGGATTCATAAGCCACCATTGCTCTGCCCATCTCTCCTGGTGAACTCAGTCTAGCGGGCATTTTCAGAGCATGCCTGCCAGACTGGGCTCTTCACAAACCATGGCAATCGCTGCCTTTTTTCGAAACACAGGCAGAGGAGAAGGCAATGGTATCAGCTCTATCTCAGTGGTTAAAACATGCACCCAGGATGTGGGAGGTTCAGATTCAATTCCCTTGTCTGCCTGGGGGGGATTCGAGAGTGTATTTTCTACCACACAAAGGAACGTCTAGCCAGGATGTCTTTGTCTGGGGACACTTCATTTCTTGCTCGAGGCTGTCCCACTTCACATAAAATCATTAAAGATTTGTTGTGGGAAAGAGATCA